GGAAGCCGCGCGATCCTCCGTCAACACCTGGTAACCCGTCTTGACGCTGTAGACCCCGTTCGCGAGTAATGCCAAATGAGTTTGTCTGGGAGAGGGGAGGATGGCAGCGGGATGGAGAGGATCCACTTGACGCTGTCCGGGTGAAATAAGCTGCTTATGAGGTCGACATTCCAGGTCCTAGTCATGGGGTGAATGAGAGAGGCCACGTAAGGATTAGAGATAGAGGCACCTGGAAGTAGTGTCGGAGAGGATGGAGGAGAAGACGGCAGCCAGTAATCATTGAGTATGTTGATGCCTGACCCACATCCTACCTGCCACCGGAGACCTCTAAGTAAGAGCTTTCGTCCCTCAAGAACGCCTTGCCAAGCCCATGAGGGCCGGTTCCCCACTGTCGCAGTAAGAAAGGTGCGGTCATGATGGTACCGGGCTTTATAAATGCGGGCCAAGGGGGAGGTCGGGTTCTGAACGAGTTTCCATGCCTGTTTAGCTAGCATCGCGATGTTAAAGAGATCGAAATCCTTGAAGCCAAGCCCGCCGTGGAACTTGCTAACACAAATTGCCGGCCATGAAACCCAATGAATCCCTTTCTCTTTATCTTGCCCTGCCCACCAAAATCTGGATATCTGGCTGTTTAGCCTCCGACAGCTCGTAGCCGGCAGCCTAAAGGACATCATCGTATAAACCGGAGTGGCTGACCCCACCGCTTTAATCATTACTTCCTTTGCTGCCTGCGAGAGTGCTTTAGACTTCCAACTCCGAATTCGGCTAGCAAGGGCATCTTCCACAAACTTGAAAGTCAGCACCTTGGATTGTTGAACTTGCGATGGCAGGCCGAGATACTTGTCGAGAGGGCCTATAGAGGTGATCCCCAGCTGTCCAGCTAGCACGGAAGCTTCATGGTCAGTAACGTTGGAGCTGAAATACACAGACGACTTGAGGAGGTTCACCTTAGCCCCGCTAGCTTGTTCGTAGATGTGGAGAAGGTTGAGGAGAGAGGCGCATTCCGTGGTAGAGGCCCGCAAGAAGAGATAGGAATCATCGGCAAATAGTAAATGCGACACGGTAGGAGCATTCCTGTGTACCTTCAGTCCATGGAGTTGATTTGTAGAGAGCGCACCTCCGATCATGGCCGAGAAGGCTTCTGTGTAAATGGCAAAGAGTAAGGGAGACAAGGGATCCCCTTGCCGGATGCCCCGCTGTGGACGGAAATACCCATGTTCTGTTCCATTGAGAATTATAGAGAAGGTCACCGTGGTCACACAAGCTTTCAACCACTTGAGTACCGTCCCATCAAATCCCAAAGCTTCCATTACCTCAAATAAGAATCCCCATTCAACGCGGTCGTACGCCTTTTCCATATCGAGCTTCACCGCCATCCACTTGTCACGGCCCTGAGATTTTGTCTTGAGGAATTGCATCACCTCTTGCGCAATCAGAATGTTGTCTGTGATATCCCGACCTTTCACAAACCCATTCTGAGCCTCACTAATAATCTCCGGCAGAACTCGATTCAAACGGCACGCCAGAACCTTAGCTATAACCTTATAAAACACCTGGCAAAGCCCTATAGGCCTCATCTGTTTCATATATTCTGCATTCGGCACCTTGGGAATCAAGGTGAGAAGAGTATGGTTCATGTTATGAAGCAACCGACCAGTGTGGAAGAAGGAGTGTGCTGCTGCCAAAACTGAGGGGCCAATGATATCCCAAAAAGTCTGATAAAAAGCTGCTGTAAACCCATCGGACCCTGGAGCTTGATGCGCCCCAATGCTGAACACCCCTCGCTTAATTTCTTCACTAGACACCGGAGCCGAAAGGATGAGATTATGCGCAATCGAAAGCTTCCGGGGAAGGTTCAGAGCATTAACTAAGAAGGCCGAGGCATTCCCACTAGTAAGAAAGAGCTGCTTGTAAAAGTTCACTGCAACCAATCCTTTCCCAGCTTCATCATAATGAGCAGCCCCATCATCATCCCGAACCACTTCTATCAGATTCTGCCTTCGATTCTGACGAACTTTAGAGTGAAAAAAGTCTGTGTTTGAGTCACCCCGTTGGAGCCAATCCACTCTAGACTTCTGCGCCCAATATGTCTCCTCCTGGTTGTAGGCACTAGTTAACTGAATCTCCAATGTTTTAATTACCTCCCAGTCAATGGCAGGCTGATCGCGTTCAGCTTCAATGGCAGCCTTGAGTTCGCGAATAAGGCGCGCAGAATTCGTGGTACCCTTCCTCGCCCATTCCACAAACTGATGTCGCGCAGCTTTGAGAGTGGAGAAGAGCTGAAATTGAGGCGTACCCATAAACCTTTTCTGCCATTCATGGGCAGCAATCTCCATTGCCTCGGCATTGTAGCACCACCGCCGATCAAAGTGAAACCTTGGCTTGCCCTTCCCCGCGCCAGGTACAAACTGCAGCAGCAGCATCCGGTGATCGGATCCCAGATCAGTCAAATGGTTTACCTGCAAATTCGGCCAATCATCCAACAGAGAACCATTAGAAAGGCCACGGTCAAGTCTCTCCAAAATATGTGTTGCCAAACCTTGCCTATTTGACCAAGTAAAAGGAGCACCCTTAAAACCCAAGTCAACAAGACCTGTTGTATCAAGGAAGGAATGAAACTGTTCCATTGCTGCAAAAGAAGGAAGTCGGCCACCCAATTTTTCAGAAGCAAAGAGAATGCAGTTAAAGTCACCAATGACCACAATGGGAGACACACACGACAAAACCAAAGACACAATTTCATTAAACTGATCAGCACGAAGCTGAGAATCATAATGAAGGTGAACAAAGATAAAAGCAATGGTTCCCCAAACTACATGATGGCATTCGACATACAAGTAATAGGGCGACTCCCCTAACAAATGACAAGAGACATTGGCAGAGCATGCTACTGCTAACCCCCCGGACCGACCTACTGGAGAAAAACAATGCACAAAAGGAAATCCTAGACGCAATAATTTCTTATTTACAAAGTCGTCATCCCTCTTGGTTTCACTGAGGAAGACTATGGAGGGTGAAAACCGATGAATGGCTCCAAACAGTGAGGGAAGAGTAAGGGAAGAGCCTAAACCCCTACAATTCCACACTAAGACGCTCATTTGGGCGATTGGGCCCAGTTCTGGCTGGTCGCCACCACCATTGTTCCAAGTGAATTGACTGGAGCATCCTCTTTTCCGTCCTGCCGCGGACGCTTAGGCTCCGGCGGAGCCAGGAGGGACCCTTGCAGTTGATCCCTGGTTCTCATCCTATGCCCAGAAGCCTCCACAGAATCCAGCCGAAAGCCCTGAGATGCAGCGATGGGGGAGGCAGCCTCTGGCCTAACCCAAGTGAACATCCTCTTACGCAAAAGAGTCTTCTCATTGACTTTTGGCCCCTTGACATGAACAAGGATGTGAGCACCATAGAGGGGATCAGCTCCAGCAAGCTCCTCCCTGCGTGGGCACTTCTGACCAATGTGGCCTATGATTCCACAGAGATAACAGAATTGCGGCAGCCTTTCGTATCGGACCACAGCATCGAAGTCCCCAACTCCTGCCTTTTCATGGGAAGCAGGCACCACCAGAGGCAAAGGATGGCGGCCATCAATCCCCACTTGAGCACGTAGGTAAACCTCGCCTGTCGAAGGGATACGGTGGACGGAGGGTGCAGCAGTTCGACCCAAAGCATGGCCAAGCAGGATGGCCATCTTCTTCGTACAGCAAGCAGTAGGGATGCCCCAAAAATGGATCCCCAGAGGAACACACCACAACTGTTCCGAAATTTCAGGCGTAACTGCCACCCAAGGAACCAGATTTACCAGGTACTTTGGAAGAAACCAAGGAGAAAATTTCCGAACACGATCCCGATCTGCTACCGTGGGGAAAATGAACTGCAATACCCCATCACTTAGCGGACTAATGGAAACTGCTCTGTGGCATCCCCAGAGGCGCCCCAACGTATTCTGGAGGTGGGCGATTGGAGGCATCTCCCCAACGATTCTACCCAGGAGGGATAGGTCGCTTCGCAGGGCTCCGATCGCAACATCTTCATCACCAAAAATCACCCTTGGAGCGGCAGCCATGGGAACTTGAGCGGGGAATCGCCGGCAGAGGAAACTCACAAAAATCGGAGATTGAAGGGTGAGAGAGCACCGGAGCGATAACAATTGAGGATCCCAGGCTGGGGCTTTTAAAAGCCCCATCGGATGAGGCCGTTTCCGGCGCCGCGAGAGGGCGGAGTGGCCGGAGTCGGCGAGTCGCACCAGGCGAAACTGTCGATCCCACTTCCCACGATAGAGAGCACGAGGAGGGGATTTTTTTTTTTCCCATAAGATAGTTTGAATAAGCATAATATAAATAGCAGAAACTTAAATGAAAAGCAATGCAAACTAATCAAAGTAATGAGGAAAATGTGTCCAAACATCTACATGATTGAGCATTTCGTCATACTAACCAAGCAAACTGACTAAATATGTATGTTGTAGCTGCCCTGCAGCTCCCATTCCAGAATTAAACACCTTAGTCTGAACCCAGAAAAAACAGCATGTGGAAAAACCATAACCTCTTACTATAAAATTAGGGAATTGTGATTGAAATAACAAACATCATCTGTCTCCCAAAATCATGTTCATATTCTAATATTTCCATAACTACGTAATTATTTATAGAATAGCTCAAGGTTTAAATTGATCAAGAATGAGAGCAAATGTTCAAACTCAATGATGCAGTGCTAGCGACACAGAAAATGAAGATAGCAGTTCCCTCAAGCTTACCAAGTATTCATTTGTACATGAGGAGGGTGGATACAAAATGATCTCTTTTTGCCATAGAAAGAAGCATCAGACCCGCCTCAAGATCATCCTTTTGTAAATAAAAAAAACACTAACAATAAGATCATAATCTCCTTTTATCTAGGAATCAGTGACAGAAAGTCATTGTTAACTATGAATCTCTTTAGAACATATTCTGAAATTGGAACATATGACAATAAAAGAGATAGAGGAGTGAATCAAGCAAGCTACCTGTTATTGAACTTCCATAGAAGCTCGTACTTCCACCTCCACTGTTAGATATTATATTATTATTAATTAATAGCACAAGTTCTCTTTCACATTTTTTTACTGTTCCTCACGATTAATTAGCAGAATCGCGTTTTTATCGGTAAAATACTACAAATCAAATTCACTGTTCATTAAGTTTTTATATGATGCGGACGGATGTAGCCAAGAAACAAAACCTTGCGGCACTAAGTTTGAAAGGCCACCCATCTTTTTTTTGTTTTTTTATCTCAAGCAGCCACTTATTATTAGGGGTGGCAATGGGTTAAGTTGGTCCACACCGGATTATATCGGACCAAATCGGTATCGGACCATACTGAATCGAATATAATATGGTACGGTTCTTTTATAAATACTGAAGAAAAATAGATCGAATTTACATTCATACCAGACCAAAACGGACCCAACGGACCGAATACACTATTGGTCTGGTCCTTGGTCCTAAGTTATCTTTCACTATTGGACCGCTATTCTCTAAATTTGATCTAATTTGATCCGGACAGGACCGATGCCCACCCCTACTTATTATCGAGTAAGGGCTTGGTTGAGTTTGAAGAGCCAAGCCCTTTATTTTAATTATTGAGCGATAATAATTTATTAGGTAACAATTAAACAAATGTATTATGTAGATGTTTTGTGATATAAGTGCGAACGCAAATTTCTTTATTACTAACTAAATTGTTGATCATTTCATCAATTTTCATTGCATCAATGCTTTTAAGTTAAGTTATTATATTTTACATAACAATGTGATATTTTTTGTAACGTAATTTTATTACTAACTAAAATTTATTCATTGTTAGCTTAAAATATTCATTATGTCATCAATTTGCATTATACATAGTTTATGTAAGTTTAGTTAACTTTTATGTAAGGCTTAATAAAATGTAATACTTTCTATAATTTGATTTTATTATTAGACCACATATTAAACAAAGTAGCATAAATTACACATACATTCGTAAAGTAATAGAGGGATAGTTACTTTTTATGCAACAGTTAATCAAAGGTATCACATGAGTCTTAGCTAATGATTAAGACACTACGTAAATTTTATGGAAAGTTATTTATTTCTTATATAAACTAAACAAACATATTATGTAAGTCTTTCAATAATGATTAAAACCCTACATAATACTTATAGATGGATAGTTATTCTTATGATTAAGACACTACGTAATGTTCATAGATGTATCTTACCCGAACAATTTTGTTAATTATTTGATTTCAACTTAGTCATTAAATAACTGAAAGAAATCGTAAATATAATTAGTTTCTTACCGCTGCGAAGCGCGGGCAAAAAAACTAGTTACCATAATATGGTAATTAAAAGGCAAAATACACTTCCATAGCCACAGCTTTTCGCTTTGTGACAATAATAGCCAAATTTTGAAAAATACATTCATATAGCCATTCCGTCCAAAACTTTAACGGACCAAATGCGGATGCTGACTAGACTAACAGTTATCACGTTGATTGATGACGTGTCACTCGATTTATAATTTTTTTGCCACATCAATTTAAAAAATTGAATTTCACACATAATTAACTAAAAAACAATATATCCAACGAAAAAAAAACAAAAACAAATCACCATCTCGTTCCTTTCCCCTTTCCCTGCTCCTCTGTTCCCTCATCCGAACAAATAAACAAATTCTAATCCCTAACTTCAATCTTTCTTTCTCCCCACCCATAACAAAAACCTAATCCCTAGCTTTCTTGCTTCCATCAAGAGCGAATCTTCTTCCACTACTTCCTCATACCATCCTTTAGACCTTTACTCTTCTCTTTGGGTTGCAAAGGTGAAGAATAGGTATGCCAAAATGTTTGTGAGCTCTCACCGGAGCAGATGCATGAGATTTACCACCCGTCTCTGCCATTCTAGGGATTTAGGTCTTCTGCGAGGCTGAAATCAACATCGATCGCGACACATCACCTATTCTCCCAAAGCTCCAAAAATTGATCGTGAATTCAAGAATCGCAATCGTCGTTTGGTCGAATATCTACGTCGATTCTACTTAGTGCCTCGGCGAGCTCCATCCCCGAGATATCTATCATCAGCAAATCTGGGAAACGCCTCCATAACTTTCCCCGTTGCACAAAGATCGCTCTGATGCTTGGTTCCCTTCATCGCAACCTCTCCCGCGGCCACAACACCCACCAAAACCTCTCTCCCCAGTTCATACGCCAAGCCCCAAATTCTCGTCAGATCCGTTCGAATCTTGCCCCTGCATTTTCAGCGACGAGGACAGCAAGATCGGGGAGGGATGAGCGGCGAGTAGAAAGCCGGAATCACGGTGGGGGTGGTGGAGGCCGTGTGCGTCGTCGAATTCGGCAGGAAGGTCTCCAACCAGTCAACTTCGCCAAATTGATCTTCCCTCGAGGCAGTGTGCGTCGTCAGATCTGGAAAAAAATGGGAAGATTAAAAAATTAAAAAAGAAAACAATACTTTATTTCTAGAAAATTACTTTTTGGAGTTTATTTTTATTTTTTAAAATATGAGGTGGCATCCACGTGGCATGACGAGTCTAGTTGGAGATAATGTGTCGTCTAGGTGGCATCCACATCAGTTTAACATCCACTTAACTAACAGAGTTGTTGACGGTGTTAAAGTTTGTAACGGAAATGGCTAAAATTGTCAAGCAAGTTTCAAAAAGTGGCTATATTTGTGCATTTTTCAAAATTTGGCTATTATTGTCACAACGCGTAAAGTTATGGCTATGAAAGTGTATTTTGCCTAATTAAAAAGGAAAAATCAAGAAAAGTGAGAAACATGATCATTACTTTGGGGGTTGCGGTAGGAGAAAGATCCACAGTGAATGCAAAAGTCAAGAAAAGAACTCACCACCGTCGCCCAGACTTTTCTAAGGCTAGGGAGTTGTGTCCCTTCCAACTTCGGCGGCAATCGAACTGAAATTGCATACCTCTCCTTGGCTTTTCTTTTTCTTTCTGGTTTTTAGCCCCTCCTCCGCTGCCGTCGAGCTTCTTACCTCGTCCAAATTGAACATCGGCTCTTCGACCAACTCCCACCTCGTCCTCCTGCTGCTCCATCACCACCACCATCGGTTCCTGTTGTCCCTCCCCATTTCCCATGGCTAAGGCTCAAGCACGAACTCGAGGAAACCATATCATCTGAATCTTCATCGCTACCTGCGTGCTCTGCAGCGATAGTCCAAAATCAAGAAGGTGAAATTACAAATATCGACAAAAGAATGCAGATATAACTTATAAGAGCTCACCGACATAGAAGATTGTGTCCATCGACCCAATTGGCAGAGCTGGGTCCGTAGAGGGGGAACAGAGTGAGAAAACAATAGAAAAGGAGGTAGAGCTGAACTGGGATTGGAACCATAAGAGAAAGTTGTCCTTTAAGCGACGGTAGCCCCCTGATCGAGTGGAGTAAGGCGAGAGCTGACCGATTCATGGGCGTTGGCGTGCCTGAGCATCTGTGAAGAGGTATCATGGGCGGTGGCGTGTGTCAGCAACGATGAAGACCCGGAAAGTTGGATAACCCGAGTGGAATGGCAAGCACTGGCACAACAGAGGATAGGCATGCAGCTGCAGATCTTGGGGGTACGGCTGCGAAAGAAGGCATGGGCAGCTGGTGGAAGGACGGAAGCACCGCTGGATGAGGGAGAATTGGGAAGATTTTGGGCGAGAAGCTCTTTCGTCGGTGCCACAAAACGACAGAAATTGAAACAGTAACTGAAATTTTAGGCCAATAAAGCGTACCCACATTTCATGTATAAAAGAATTATGTCTCTGCAGTGAGCAGTCTCTTTTACTAGTCTCTTCAGATCAAATCCAAAGATACCTGCAGACGTAGCTAGACATGATATATATCTTCTGCCTTCCCTTCCCTTCCCTCCCAACACGACTGTTGGGTTCAAAAATGTAATCATGATATTCGATCAACTTATCAAACTAGTAGGTGTCTATATAACATACATTTACTGCACCAAGAGTTGCAGGGGAGTCCTTTTTTCTTCTTCTTCACCTTGTTGTTTTTGCTTGTAGTAGACGATTTGCAGAGCCCTGATAATAAGCAATGGATCAAGAGCCGACGCACAAGTTCATACACGTCAAAGTGGTGGGGCAGGTTTCGAGTTTAGGAGGGGAGCTAGAGGTGTTCTTTAGAATCAAGGAGAGCACCCCGTTGTGGAAGCTGATGGCAGCATACTGTCGTCGGATTGGCATGTACGAGGTCCAGGATTTTGCATTCATTTTCGATCAGCGCTTGTTGCGTCCCCATCAGACACCTAAACAGGTCCATTATTATAACTATATTCTATAACATCGATCGATCGAGATCGATAATCTCTCTTTTCTATTGTTATTAATTAATTTCATGACTGGTTTTTACGTGTCTGATCTGGTTGGTTGATACAATGATACATGTACAGGTGCACATGGAGGACGGAGATGTGATAGATGCATTGCTGAACCAGACAGGATCTTAAATAGCTATTGACGTACTATCAGCTCTGGATGAAACTATGAACTGTATTATGATTTCGATCGTTCTGTAACGAGCTGGCGTTGCCTGATGAGACACCTCGATTACCATGTGTTTCTATTTTGGTTGTTTCGCTTGTAGTTTGTTTTGAGTGATCAGTGTGACTAGCTAGCTAGTTGCAGTGTGGTTTTTTGTTGTTGTTGTTGTGATCATGTTTGTTGTGTAATGAAATTGGTTGTCCAAGTTCAGCATCACTAGTTAGATCGCAGTTGGAGCATTGACGAATTTCGCTTGTTGTTCTTCACTTGTGAGACGTGATGTTTGTTTCTTGTGGACTGGGAATGTTTTCATTGCTAACTCGATCGGCTACTTCATTCACCATAACGAGAGAGAGAACCCAGTCCACCAAATGTCCAAATTCTTCTCTCTGCCTTTTTCTTCTTTCTCGGGACAACCCTATGTCAGCAGACAAATCCTCCGCGGCGCCCGCGAGAGAGGCTCTGCGAGGCAGGCGGGAGGCGTTGTAGGTGAGCTTCTTCGTCATTTTTGGGACTGTATGTTTCTAGTATTGAGAGATTGTTAATGGATGCTGATATTAGCATTCATGTAATCTGTTTTCAATTTTACAGACTATATATGGATGATGTCGATTCTATAGATAGGGTTTTGAGATAGTTTATTTAACATATTTATATCCGTACCCTGGAATTCTGTTAAACCGCTAAAACCAGTGCAAGCATCACTAGTTATATTGTGACTGTTGTGATCCCTACGTTCTCTATATTAATTGTAGGGTCATTTTGTAGTTTGCCAACTCCACGTGTATGTGTTGAGGAGTTAGGCTTTTATTGTTTTCGTGTATATAAGGGTAGGGCAGCAGCTGCCGAACCCTAAGACTGAACATCATCAAATAATTCCATCTCTGAGAGCTACGAGCTCTCCGTGGACTAGTCTCGTTCAATTGAACGGGGAAACCACGTAAATCCTGGTCTCGTTTTATTCCGCGTTTATCGTATTTTACATGGTATCAGAGCTGTGAGTAGATTCAGCTTCTCCAATCATGAGTTCGGACGATGAAGCCTCTGGCAAGACTTCGAACTTTGGTAAAACTCCTCAATCGTCGACGGTCGTGGGTTCTGGTCCCCACGCTATGCTACCGTCGCACTTGATTCTCCACCCATCGGACAGCCCAAGCAACCTCTTTGTTGGCGAGCTGCTTACGGATGGAAACTACGGTGAGTGGGTGGTTGATATCACCGACTCCTTGATTGCAAAAAACAAGATGTGCTTCGTTGATGGAAGCTTGCCGCCCGCTGATTCTTCGGCTGAAAGGGAGGCGCTACTTCGATGCAACGCCATGGTCAAGGGATGGTTGAAGACCTCCATGACGAAAGAGGTACGAAGTAGCGTTCGGTTCGCGTCAACTGCTCGCGAGATATGGGTCGATCTGCAGGCTCGTTTTGGACAAGGAAGCGGCGGCCGACTCTATGAACTCAAGCGAACCATCGCCTGTTTACAGCAGGAGAAGACCTCGGTGTCTGCGT